TTTTTGTCTAATTTAAGTGTAGGGTTTTTATTAATACTATTCAGGCATGGGGGTTTATTCAGGATTTTATTATTGTGTTTTTTTTATTATACTTTCTAGATTTTCAGTGCAACTGTAGCTTAATTTTTAGGGTGTTTTTATTATATATATATATATATATATATATATATATATATATATATATATATATATATATATATATATATGCGTATACATGTTTAGGGTTTTAGTATTATACGGGTGTGTGCAAATATAGGTATACAGTAATGAAAAACAAGAGTATAAAACATATTGCATTGATTATACATAAATATCAATAATGATATAGCAATGGTATATAAACTTACTATATACCTACTTTTGCAGCCCTATCGAGATAAATGAATTCTCGAATCATAATACACTCCTGACACTACAGAGAGGCTCCGGGAGAAGGTAGGCGATGAAAGAGGAGGAGAGCACAAGAAACATAGAAGAAAGGGAGAAATAGAACACGGTAGGGAGAGGGAGAGAGAAATTGATAGAGAGTGAATGTAATAGATAGAACGAGAGTGAGAGAACGAGAGAGAGAGAAACAGAGAAAAGAGAGAGGGGACAAAGAGAAAAGAAACGGTACACACTACAAGAGAGAAGACTAGGAAAGAGAAAGAGGTAGAATAAGAGAGGTGGAGAGTGTGTGTGTGTGAGTGAGAGGGAGAGCAAAGTGTGTATTTAAATCAGATAAATAAACCTTGCGAACATAAAGGAAACGACCCAAACACTGTACAACGAGAGAGAAATAGAGAGAGAAAAATAGAGAGAAATAGAGAGAGAAAAATAGAGAGAGAAAAAGAGAGAGAAATAGAGAGAGAAAAAGAGAGCGGGAAAAAGAAATAAAGAGAGAAAGAGTGAGAGAAATAGAGAAGCAGAAAGCGAGAGAAATAGAGAGAGAAAATAGAGAGAAATAGAGAGGGAAATAGTGAAAGAAATAGAGAGAAATAGAGAGAGAAAAAAAGAGAGAGAATGAGAGAGATACAGAGAGAAAAAGAAGGAGAAATAGAGAGAGAAAATAGACAGAGAAAAAGAGAGAGAAATAGAGAGGGAAATAGTGAAAGAAATAGAAACAAATAGAGAGAAAGAAAGAGAGAGATACAGAGAGAAAAAGAAGGAGAAATAGAGAGAGAGAAATAAAGAGAGCGGGAAAGAAAAATAAAGAGAGAAAGAGTGAGAGAAATAGAGAAGCAGAAAGCGAGAGAAATAGAGAGAGAAAATAGAGAGAAATAGAGAGGGAAATAGTGAAAGAAATAGAGACAAATAGTGAGAGAGAAAAAGAGAGAGAAATAGAGAGAGAAAAAGAGAGCGGGAAAGAGAAATAAAGAGAGAAAGAGAGAGAGAAATAGAGAAGCAGAAAGCGAGAGAAATAGAGAAAAATAGAGAGAGAGAAAAAGAGAAAGAATTACAGAGAGAAATACAGGGAGAAAAAGGGCGAGAAATAGAGAGAGAAAATGAGAGTGAAAGAAATAGAGAGAAAAAGAGAAAGGTTAAAGAAATAATTACAGAGAGAAATTAAGAGAGAAATTAAGAGAGAAAAAGAGAGAGTGAAAGAGCGATAAATAGAGAGAGTAAAAGAGAGAGAAACAGAGAGAAAAAAGATAGAAATAGAGAGAGAGAAAGAGAAAGATATAGAGAGAAAAAGAGAGAGAAAAGAGAGAGAAATAGAAAAAGAAATAGAGAGAGAAAATAGAGAGACCACTAGAAAAAAAACGAGCAAGAAGGCGGTGTAGAGGGCGAGAGTACAAGAAAACAAGAAAAAAAAGAGAAAGAGAGCGAAAGAGAAACACAGTAGAGAGAGAGAGAGAGAGAGAGAGAGAAAGGAAAAGTCTAAAAGAAAGAAGGCTAGCAAGAGAGACAGGTTGAGAGAGAGAGCGGAAGTGAGACGGAGAGAAAAGTGTGCATTTAAATCAGATATTAAACTCTGCAAACATAAAACAAACGCTGTAATGGTTAACAAGCTAAAGCAATTACGACAGAATAGTGCGCTCGATCCTCACTTGGTGCCCATTGCTTTCAGCCTTGTGCCACATCTAAGATATACTTTGAAAATCACCATAAAACAAAAGCTCCTAACACAGTACAATGGGAGAGAACATGAAAAAAAAAGGTGAACAAAAAGGCCGGGGGTGGGGAGTGAGAGTGCAAGAATACAAGAAAGAAAGGGAGAAAGAGAGTGAAGGAGAAATATAATAGTGTGTGTGAGAGGGAGAGAGTGTAATCGATAGAGAATGAGAGTTATAGATAGAGCGAGATTGAGCGAAAGAGAGAGAGGGGGAGAAAAAAGAGAGGACAAGGGGAAAGGAATAGAGACATACTATAAGAGAGAAGGCGAGCAAGAAAAAGAGACTGGGAGAGAGAGAGAGGGGGGGACAGAGAAAGAGCAAAGTGTGCTTTTAAATTAGATAAATGAATTTCACAAACACAAATCAAACACTCCGAACAACGACAGAGAAGGAAAGATACAAAGAGACAGAGAGAGTAAGGAGAGACTGCGAGAGAGAACGGGCGAGCAAGAAGGTGATGGGAGGGGGAAAGAAAGAAGAAAACAAGCACGTGAACGAAAACGAGAGAGAAAGAGAGCACAATAGTGAGAAGGCAAGTGAGCAAGCGATGGAGAGAGATCGCGTTTTAGAGAGAGGGGGCGAGAGACAAGAGGAGAGATACAGCAAAAGCAAATTTCAAAAGAGATTAAAGAAAAAGAGAAAAGAGAGAAGACAAGAAAGAGAAAGAGGTTGAGAGTATGAAAGAAAGAGAGGGAAAACAAGAGAGGGAAAACAAGAGAGTAATGGGTATAGAGCGAGTAGTAGTAAGAGGGTTATAGGGAGTAAGCAAGAAAGAAACAAGAGAGTGAGCAAGAGAAAAAAAAACGAGGAAGAATTGGTGAGAGAGAGAGAAACATAGTAGAATAGTGAGAGGAAAAGTTAATGAGAGATAGATAAAGAGCGAGTGAGAGAGAGAGGAGACGATTTAGATATAGTAAGAGAGAACGGGAGAATAAAGAAAAAGAAAGAGAGATGATGAGTACTAGAAAGAGGTTGAGAGTGTGAAAAACAGAGGGAGAGCAAAAGAGTGAGAGACAAGTGAGAGAGCAATAAAGAAATAGAGACAGAGAGAGAGAACGATAGTATGAATAGGCCTGAGAGAGAAATGAATATAGAGCGAGTAGGAGATAGAGAGCAATAGGGTGTAAGCGAGAAAGAGGTTAGAAAGAGTGAAAGAGAGAAAAAGAGGGAGGTGGCGAGCCAGAAGGAACCGGGGAGAGAGGAAGATAGTGAGAAAAAAGAAGAGAGAGCATTCAAGGGGGTGAGCGATGAGAAAAGAGAAAGAAAAAATGAAAAGGTAGACAGAGAGTCAAAGAGAGAAAGATCAAGAAAGACAACATGTAACAGAGAGTGGGATATAGCAGAGAGACAGAGAGAGAGAGAGAGATAAGCATGCAAAAAGTGTTGGAGAGAGATGGAGAGAATAGGAAATAGCAATGGAAAGCGAGCGATAGAAAGAGAAAAGTGTGATAGTGAGAAACGATGTAAGAGAGAGAGGGGTGATAATGAGAGCAAGGGTGAGAGAGAGAGAGAAAGCTATAGAGCGAAAGCGGGACAATAGGGAGTGTGTGTGAGAGAGAGAGTAGAGAGTAGGGAGCAAGCAATAGCGAGCGATAGAAAGAGTTAATGACAGTGAGAAACGTTGTAAGAGAGAGAGAGAGGATGATAATGAGGGCAAGGATGAGGGAGAGAGAAAGAGTAAACGATAGCGAGAGAGCGTGACAATAGAGTGAGAGAGAGAAAAGACAGTATGGAACAAGCAATAGAGACCGATAGAGAAAGTGAATGATAGTGAGAAACGGTGTATAAGAGAGAGGGTGATAATGAGGGCAAGGATGGGGGAGAGAGAAAGAGTAAGCGATAGCGAGAGAGCGTGACAATAGAGTGAGAGAGAGAAAAGACAGTATGGAACAAGCAATAGCAAATGATAGAAAGAGTTAATGACAGTGAGAAACGTTGTAAGAGAGAGAGGGGGGATGATAATGAGGGCAAGGATGAGGGAGAGAGAAAGAGTAAACGATAGCGAGAGAGCGTGACAATAGAGTGAGAGAGAGAAAAGACAGTATGGAACAAGCAATAGCAAATGATAGAAAGAGTTAATGACAGTGAGAAACGTTGTAAGAGAGAGAGGGGGGATGATAATGAGGGCAAGGATGAGGGAGAGAGAAAGAGTAAACGATAGCGAAGAGCCAATAGAGTGAGAGAGAAAAAGACAGTATGAACGACGACAAATGATAGAAAATCGTTAATGACAGTGAGAAACGTTGTAAGAGAGAGAGGGGGGATGATAATGAGGGCAGAATGAGGGCGAGAAAGAGTAAACGATAGAGAGAGCGTGACAATAGAAGAGAGAAAAGACAGTATGGAACAAGCAATAGCAAATGATAGAAAGAAATGACAGTGAGAAACGTTGTAAGAGAGAGAGAGGGGATGATAATGAGGGCAAGGATGAGGTGAGAGAGAAAGAGAAACGATAGCGAGAAAGCGTGACAATAGAGTGAGAGAGAAAAGACAAATAAGCAATATTTTTCAAAGAGTTAATCCACAGTGAGAAACGTTGTTCTGATAATGATTCAAATCCATGGCTTCAATGTCTTGATTGGAACCAAAGACCGACAAAAAGTTTTTGAGAAACGGTGTAAACTTAATGACAAAATGGGGAGAGAGAAAAAAAAAATAATACATTTTTTTTTAAGAGAGAGAGAGATTCAGTAAAATAGAGACCGATAGAGAGAACGTTTGATAGTGAGGGCGATAATGAGAGCAGGATGAGAGAGAGAGAGTAAGCGATAGAGAGAGAGAGAGTTACAATAGAGAGAGAGAAAGACAGTGAGAACCGGAGTAGAAAAGAATGTGAGCGACGACAAGAGAAAAATCGTTAAGCATAACGTCAAGTTGAGAGAGAGAGGGAACTATGCCCTTGAATCAGAGAACAATGAAGAGAGAAAGGGATAGAGAGAATAGAAGAAAGCTAAGGAGAAAGAGAGAGAAAGAGAGAGAGAGAGAAAGAGAAAGTCGCTGTGACAACAGCAGATGCACTCGAGACTCGAAACGGAAAGAAAATACAAATATATTTTTCAATTATCCACATGCGGCTTCTCTTATTCAAATCCATGGCTTCTGTCTTGATTGGACCAAAAGCGACAAAGTTTTTCAGCCTCAAACTTAATAACAAAAGACAAAAAAAAATAATACATTTTTTTTACCTGATTTCATTCCGTAAAATGACGCTTTCGCACACATTTTCACACCTTGAATAAATATTTATTTTACTATAAAATTACATATATCATCGTACTGATTTTATAGTCAAATAACATAAGAATTATGCCCTTGAATCAGCTATTTTGGCTGAGTACGTAGAACCCTTATTTCCGAAATGATTTTAGTTCAAGAATATATATATATATATATATATATATATATATATACACGAAACCTTCACCATTGGAAATGATGTTTTACTTGTCGAGCTGGAACTGATTTTACTATACGTTTTACGAATGCATTGGAAATGATTTATATATATATATATATGCATATGGATATATATAGAAATGATTTTACTATAAGAATGAATTGGAAATGATTTATTATAAGAATGCATTGGAAATGATTTTACTATAAGAATGCATTGGAACTGATTTTACTATAAGAATGCATTGGAACTGATTTTACTATAAGAATGCATTGTAAATGAATTTTAAATGGTTTTACAAGAATGCATTGGAAATGATTTTACTATAAGAATGCATTGCAAATGATTTTACTATAAGAATGTATTGGAAACAAATTTACTGTAAGAATGCATTGGAGCTATTGCAACTGAATAGTGAAGTTCGATCCTCATCTGTTACTCCCTACTTTCAGCTTTGTGCCACATCTAAGCTACGCTTGGAAAATCACCATATATATATATATATATATATATATATATATATATATATATATATATATACCGGGTGTAGCAGCAAAATTGTCCAACTCGTGTAACAGCACGGGATAATTGTCCATCCCACTAAATGTTTAATATCTAAAAAAAAAGAAAAAAGAAAAGAACGAGTTTTCAAGGTTTTCACAGAATACGTTTAGCCATCTTGACATCATTTGTCGTAAGAATCACTGAAAAAACCCTTTTGCGTTATTAAGCTAGAAAAAGAACACTTTCTTCCCAACTGAGCAATGGTAGGAGGAAAAAGATCATTCAGGGCTTCAGTAATGGTACCAACATTCGTACTCTGGCTTCTATCAATTCAAGAACCATCAAGAGAACGGTGAATAAGTTGAAAAAATGAGGGAACATTAGAGAAGAGAACTGAATCAAGAGGTCACAACAGGAAGGGGGGTAATGATTTCAAGTTAGAGCTGAAGAGATCAATTAGAAAAGATCCAACTCAGCCCATAAGACGTTTGTCACGTGAGAGAGAAGTGTCAGATATGACAGTTCAAAATGTGCAAATTAATCGAAAAAAAAACGAATAAAAACTTACAGTCAGATAGATAGATAGATAGATATAAACAAACTTACAGATAAATAAATATGGAGAAACTTACAGATAGATAGATAGATAGAAACTTATAGATATAAACGAACTTATAGATAGTTAGATAATATGAACGAACTGATAGATAGATAGATAGATAGATAGATAGATAGATAGATATGAACAGTCTGAGATAGATAGATAGATAGATAGATAGATAGATAGATAGATAGATAGATAGATAGATAGATACTTGTGCAAATTAATTGAATCAAAACGAATAATTCCTTTATAATTTGCATTTCTTCGTATTTTTCCAATGAAACATGACCCAGTGCACATGCTAGTAATTCGTATGTCCATTCCACCAAGTCGTTCCTTGCAGATTGACCAAAGATTCTCTTTAAAACAGGCTATAGTACTTTGATTTTCTAACTGGTAAAAGTTGCCAGTGTCTTCGTGCAGCATTACAAATTTTCGTACACTTCCTTGGAGTAACGTCCGTCACAGACAATAGCCGTAGGACAACTAATCGACAGTCGAGACAATAGTGTCTGGGCGTGCTAAAAATCTGATGCAATCAGAGATGACGAAATATTTTTTAAGACCAAACAAATTCCATAACTCACCCCGAAAACAGATTCATATTACTGCACACCACTGCAAATGAGCTAATTTGAGGGAAAAAAAAATAGAAATCGATTACACCCATTGGGTTTAAAACTGGCTGTATGGTGAAAGAAAAGAAACTAAAGTCGTTGTTTAAATTAATTTGCACAAAGATGTACATATACATTTACATGGATTTTTATTTTTATAGTTTTCCAAATTTAATAGAAAATATTAATGGATTTTAAAACTTGAATACATGTTACAACATACAGAACATTTTTCTTTCTTTTCTATATTATTATACATACATTTCCCATGGATTATTTTTATAGAGAAGTTTTACAAATTTAATAACAATCGAAAATGGATTTTAAACTTGAATACATATAGATTAATTGGTTTTAATTCATAGCTAATTATTAACTTTTTGAAAGTCTTTTCCCCGATGTTCCAAAAAGCTTTTGTCCTTTGTGTTGAGAATGAATGAATGGCAGAGAGCGATTGTTAGTCTCCTCACAGATGAAGAGAAGAATGTGGTTCTACCGGAGGATGCTGAGAATGCCTTTCTCTGCCATTTAAAAAAAAAAAAGAAGGCTTTTACCTTTGTCCCCGTTTTGAGATATGAACATTCTGCAAATGTTCCTTCAACTTTGTTGGTTTCAAAGAATCATTTGACAAAGCTTTGCAACAAAATACACACCGAGGCTGTTCTTCTCTGTTGAGGCTGATGGATGTGAATCCATATTGAATATAAAATTAATCCCGCCGTCTTTTCTGACACTCATGATTGGCTCTAAATTCTGAAAAATAAAATACAAATAAAAGTAAAAGATTAACCTCCCTGACCCCCCCCCCCCCCGAGAAGGAACTGCCCCCTCTTGTTGAGAGCTCTGACATTAAGCAGAACTAAAGAAACTGGGGTTTTAACTAATTATAAGTCTTCTGTTAGTATGCTAAAATTCCAAACAGTAGAAGCAAAACGGTACTAAGTCTGATAGGTACAATAAAGTCAAATTATCAGCTGATGCCAAAAACGACCTCCAGTCTGTTGTTAACTGGGGCAAAGGATGGCATGTTAATTTTAACGCCTCCAGAACTAAACTGCTCTCCATTAATCATCTGAGAGACTCATTTTCTACCTTCCGTCGGTATGGCTAATGCTAACCTCCAGGAGAGTGACTCGTTTGGTTTTAATTCATAACTAATTATTAACAATTTGAGAGCCTTTCCCCGATGTTCAAAAAAGCTTTTGCCCTTATCCTTGTTTTGAGAAACGAACATTCTGCAAATATTCTTTCAACTTTGTTGGTTTCAAAGAATCATTTGACAAAGCTTTCCAACAAAATACGCACTGGCGTTTTTCTTCTCCATTGAGGATGATAGAGGCGGATCCATATTGATTATAAACTTCATCAGATCGTCTTTTTTTGATAGCCATGATGAGATCCAAATTTTGAAAGACTTTTCCCCGATGTTCAAAAAAGCCTTTATCCAAGTCTTTGTGTTAAGGATGAACAAATGGCAGAGAGCGATTGATAATTTTCTCGCAGATAAAGACAAGACTGGAGGTATCAGATAGATGGTTCTACAGAAGGATGCTGAGAATGCAATGGAGGGAGCGCGTAAGCCAACGAGGAAGTCTTATGGAAAATTGAAGCAAAAAGGACTCTTAGAAATAGAATGAGACAACTGGAATTATAAGGAAACGGCGGCTTGGATAATTTATCACTCACGAGACATATCAAGAGAAACAGGAACAGGCAGCGGGTAAGCTACCTGACGAGGTTGTATGAATAAGTAGCAGGAGAGGTTGCGGGATGGATGGTAAAAAAGACAAAGGTTACTAAGAGCTACACATAATAGGGAGTTGTGAAGAGACTTGATCGCCCACGTTCTGAAGAGACATGGGAGAAGAAGAGACACACTGATGCCTCTCTTTTTCACTCAGGTTGAAAGATACGGATCCATATTGATTATAAACTTCATCGTCTTTTTTTGGCAGCCATGATGAGATCCAAATTTTGAAAGTCTTTTCACCGACGTTCAAAAAAGCTTTTGTCCTTTGTGTTGAGGATGAAGAAATGGCAAGAGAGCGATAGACAACTGAGAATTATTAGTCTTGGAGAATTTAACGCCGACAACAAATATTGAAGGAGAGAGGAAAACATCGGGCCATTCTTCTAACAATCTTGTGTGAATAGACGACGGAAGTTGGCGTTAAGAGGGATGGGAAAAAAGGCACAATTTACTCAGATGTACAAGGGATAGGATGTTGTGGAGAGCTATGATCTCTAATAGCACATAGAACACTGATTCTCAGCCATTTTTCTGCCCAATGCACACTTTTAACCATGTCAGAATGTCATTCGCACTCTTTTTAAGATTGTCTGATCCAAAAGTTGCATTCCAAATAATATTCATATATTATAGTTCTGTAAGGAAGAATATTTTCCTTCAAGTTTTGGACTCGGCCGTCGGACGAAAGACAAAATAAACTCCGACATCAAGAGGAGTAGCATGAGGAGCAGTAACAGCAGTAGCTTTTACTAAAAACAGTTAGTCATTCACAGCTAAAAATACTCTTACTCTACTTTCTATTCTACATTATGTTTCCCCTGTACTAAAAAGTTTTTTTGATAACTCAATTACAACAAACATTCACATGGATTCTTTTTATAGAGTTGCTTTACGAATGTAATAGCAATCGTAAATGTTGATATATTTTAAACTTGAATTAACGCACAATAATTTGCATTAATTCATAACTAATTATTAACTTTTTGAAAGCCTTTTTTCCCGAATTTCAAAAAAGCTTTTGTCCTTTGTTTTGAGGATGAAGAAATGACAGGGAGTGATTAGCAGTCTCTTCACATATGAAGATAAGACTGCAACCATCTGAAATGTGGTTCTACCGGAGGATGCTGAGAATGTCTTTCACTGACATTTTAAAAAATAGCTTTTGCCCTTGTCCTTGTTTCTACCCACTTTCCACCATAAGTCAAAGTGTCATTCCCCACTTTCCAAAAATTGCCAGACTCAAAAGACGCATTCCGAATAATATGCCTATATTATATAAAACTTTCTTTCTTTTCCATATTAGTACACATGGATTTCTCTGATCCAAAAGTTGCATTTCAAATAATATTCATATATTATAGTGTTGTGAGGAAGAATATTTCCCTTCAAGTTTGGACCCGGCCGTCGGACAAAATAAACTCCGACATCAAGAGGAGTATCAGGAGGAGCAGTAACAGCAGAATCTTTTGCTGAAAACAGTTAGTCATTCACGGCTAAAAATACACTTACTCTACTTTCTATTCTACATTATGTTTCCCTGTACCAAAAAGTGTTTTTGATAACTCAGTTACAACATACATTCACATTTGGCCAACAGACATTTGACCAACAGACATTTGGCCGAGAGACATTAGACGAACGGAGATTTGGCCGATAGATATTTGACCGACGGATATTTGACGAACAGACATTTGGTCGAACGGACATTTGGCTGGACGGACATTTGGCCGAGAGACATTTGACCGACAGACATTTCACCGAAAAAGTACAAGTAAAAATAGTACCAAGCGATACTTTAAGTATTTTAATTAGTAGTATTATAAGGTAGAATAGGACTAATATTTACCAATGAATTTCAAGTGACTAAATTACTAAATCTAAATTTAAAGTTAAAAGTTTTCTTATTTCAATATTTGTTTATTGAAATTAGTATTTAAAAAATATTTTAGTGTATTTGGGTAAAAAGTAGCACCTAATTATTTAAATTCGTATTTAACAGTAAGATAAAAGCTAGATCATCCCTTTAAGATAATGATCATTAAAAGCGAAATTTGAAAGAATTTTCATATCGTAAAAGTTTTGCTGGAGTAAAATGTACTTTTTCTCAAAATACTTATCATCTTACAGTAAAAATTTGAAGTAAAATATAATATATATACAATAGATTTTTTTAAAAAGCATGTCAACAAAAAAAAACCTGAAAAATTATAAATTAATACAGTAAATAGATATAAATATCTGTAGAACATTACGATAAAGAGTGTGCCATACATGTAAGTACGTCACCCCATTTTCGGCTAAATATCCATTCGGTTACATGTCCGTCGGCCAAATGTCCGAGTAGCAAGACTTCTCGTTCTTTTACAATTGCTTCACTGTGTAAGTTGAATAAGTCTAGTGAGAAGACACATCCTTGTCTTACAGCCCTTTCTATTTTTGCATATTTAATGAACTCATTTTCTGTCTGCGTGCAGGCGATTTGCTGACAGTATAGGTTTTGGCTTATTCTAATATCCTTCCCAAATGTGTCAAGGGTAACGAGCAGAATTCGGATGATTAGTTTTCTTATGTGGCTCGTGAGGCTCATAGCCCGATAGAGCTCGCATTCTTTTTGCTGATTTCACGTTGGACTTTAATCTTTCTGGTCCTTTGATATTTCTGCACATGGCGGGTTGTCGTCTTTTGATGTATTCGTTTCCATCTCTGAACTATTTTTCATTCTCTATAATCGTTGTCCTGTGCTTGGATCGTATGCCCCCTGTTGCATTTTCATTGTCTTACTTTCCCTCCTCTGTTAAAAAAAAATCTGCCCAGATATTTAAATTGTTGTACTTGTTTGATTTTGGTATCTCCAAATTATAATAATTACACAACCGCCAAAAATGCACATAAAGAGCCCATTGACCAAACATATAAGATTCCATACACAGATTTAAAAGTAGAAATACAAACATATATCTGTTGTAGAGTACGAAAAGATTTTTCTTCCTCCGTATGAGTACGAATCCCTCGTCGCCAAGTTGTTATGTAGTGGTTTCACAGTGGAGGCTTGTATTTGTACTAAGTCGTTCCTAAAATAGGTTCGACGTACAAAACATTAGGAACTTGATATAATAGGTAATGACGCAGTAATCTAGTTGGGGTGGCTGATACTTTAATATCCGACTAACGGTCGTCCGACATCGACTGACCAACTCACTGAGCGACTGCTACTACTCCTACTTATTATAGGTGGGAGAGTCTATTAACTATAGAATCGGTGTGTTCCACTATAACAATATCCAAAATAAATGGCAAATCCACTGGAACAACTGCAATTTAAATCAATTACTAACAATAAAACCCACTCTACGTGAATGACTACAGGGTTACAGGGAATCACGAATGGGGGGAAGTTATCCTTTCTCGACTCCGTATTGGATATACTAAAATAACTCATCTATTCCTACTTGAAAAAAAGGAACCGCCCTGGTGCACAGTCTATCATACACTGTAAGACACTTCATGATGGACTGCGCTGACTTTTCATCTGTACGGAAAAAGTACTACAATACAAAAACAATGAAAGAACTCTTTGAACACACCAAGATAGATCATTTAATGGCATATTTAAAGAAAATAGGACTATACAACAAAATCTAATTAAAGTAAAAATGTGTACAACCAATCTAATGCATACAACCATTCTATCATGTGCACCAACTTCAAAACAAATAAACTACATTAAAAAAGTGTGATCCCAAAATTCAAAAACTGAACCTTAAATGATCATAATGGTTGATGTGTTGTTAAACCTAAACCAAACCAAATTATAATTTGCATGTTGATCTGTTCCTTTTGCTAACAATCACGCATTCTTGCAATTAATGTTTAGTCCTTTCTTCTTGCTTTCCTTCACTGCCTTCTGTGGGAGTTTTTTATAGTTTCCTTTCTATGTCTGCCATCAACACTGTGTCATCGGCACATCTTATGTTTTTAAGATTGTGACCGCCAGTAATGAATTTTGTTAGTTCTTCTATGTCTCTCTGAATTGCCTGACTGTATAGGTTGAATAAGTCCGGCGAGAAGACACATCCTTGTCTTACAACCCTTTCTATTTTACTACTGCAAGTCAGGATGTGAGGCTGGTGAAATAGATAATGCTTGTCTTTTGAAATGTATATTTCGCTTTCCCAAAGCACCATCGGATTTCAGTGTCGCACTTTCCTTCCTCAGTTAAAAAAAAAATCTGCCCAGATATTTCAATTGTTGTACTTGTTTGATCTTGGTATCTCCAATTTGTAATTTGCGTGTTGAACTGTTCCTTTTGCTAACAAGCACGCATTCTTGCAATTTATGTTTAGTCCTTTCTTCTCGCTTTCCTTCTGTGGGAGTTTTTATAATTTCCTTTCCATATCTGCTATCAACACTGTGTCATCTGCATATGTTATGTTTTTAAGATTGTGATCGCCAATAAAGAATTCTGTTAGGTCTTCTATGTCTCTCTTAATCACCTCGCTGTATAGGTTGAATGTCCGGCGAGAAGACATATCCTTGTCTTGCACCCTTTTCTTTTTGGACATTTTGTATATTTACTGAATTCATTTACTATCTGTATACAAGCGGTTTGCTGCCAGTATAGGTTTTGGATAATTCTACTATCCTTCCCAAATATGTCATGGTTAACGAGCAGTTCCAAGAGTTCTTTGTGACATAATTTGTCAAATGCTTTTACATGATCTATAAAACGTAGTCGAGTGGTTAGAACGTTCTGACCACGAGAGCCGGTTTCGAATCTCACCATGGTCGATTTGACAAGAAGGATAATTCCTGATGTTTATCAGATTGGAGGGATTTTTGTTTTGTTTTTTGGGATTTTTTTTTTTTTATTTTGATATCGCCAATTTCGGATGATTAGTTTTGTTATGTGGCTCATAATTTCTTGTTTCACTGTTTTTAACTGAGCTACACTGTTTTTGTCCTATTTTCGGTCTAATTCTGCTGACCGCTGCTTTCATCACAATTCGGATGATTAGTTTTGTTATGTGGCTCATAATTCCTTGTTCCACTGTTTTTAACTGAACTACACTGTTTTTGTCCTATTTTCGGTCTAATTCTGCTGACCGCTGCTTTCATCACAATTCGGATGATTAGTTTTTTTTATGTGGCTCATAATTTCTTGTTCCACTGTTTTTAACTGAACTACACTGTTTTTGTCCTATTTTCGGTCTAATTCTGCTGACCGCTGCTTTCATCACAATTCGGATGATTAGTTTTGTTATGTGGCTCATAATTCCTTGTTCCACTGTTTTTAACTGAACTACACTGATTTTGTCCTATTTTCGGTCTAATTCTGCTGACCGCTGCTTTCATCACAATTCGGATGATTAGTTTTGTTATGTGGCTCATAATTCCTTGTTCCACTGTTTTTAACTGAACTACACTGATTTTGTCCTATTTTCGGTCTAATTCTGCTGACCGCTGCTTTCATCACAATTCGGATGATTAGTTTTGTTATGTGGCTCATAATTCCTTGTTCCACTGTTTTTAACTGAACTAAACTGATTTTGTCCTATTTTCGGTCTAATTCTGCTGACCGCTGCTTCCATCACAATTCGGATGATTAGTTTTGTTATGTGGCTCATAATTCCTTGTTCCACTGTTTTTAACTGAACTAAACTGTTTTTGTCCTATTTTCGGTCTAATTCTGCTGACCGCTGCTTTCATCACAATTCGGATGATTAGTTTTGTTATGTGGCTCATAATTCCTTGTTCCACTGTTTTTAACTGAACTAAACTGTTTTTGTCCTATTTTCGGTCTAATTCTGCTGACCGCTGCTTTCATCACAATTCGGATGATTAGTTTTGTTATGTGGCTCATAATTCCTTGTTCCACTGTTTTTAACTGAACTACACTGTTTTTGTCCTATTTTCGGTCTAATTCTGCTGACCGCTACTTTCATCACAATTCGGATGATTAGTTTTGTTATGTGGCTCATAATTCCTTGTTCCACTGTTTTTAACTGAACTACACTGATTTTGTCCTATTTTCGGTCTAATTCTGCTGACCGCTGCTTTCATCACAATTCGGATGATTAGTTTTGTTATGTGGCTCATTCCTTGCTTCCACTGTTTTTATATCCACTGTTTTGGGCTTGCTGATTCGTTTGGCTATGGCTTATCCAGATAGGGCTTGCATTCGTTTGGCTCTGGCTTCTTAGGCAACACTATTTTTCGGTATGAAATCATTGTCGTAAATTTTTATTTATTATGCCGGTAATTTTGCCAATTCCAAAATTATCTAAAACTGCCAGCACCTCTATTACAATTTCCTCATGTCCTCTTGTTTTGTTCTCGTATAAGTTGTCTAGTGCTGATTTCACTTCAGACTTTAATCTTTCCGCTCATTCGATATTTCTACATATTACGGTTATCGTCTTTCGTCGTAGAAAAGTTCTCCGATGCATTCGTTCATTTCTGAACTATTTTTCATTCTCTATTATCAATGTCCTGTGCTTGGATTTGCATGCCTCCTGTTGATGAACACGTATTTTATCCTGTTATGTCTCTTATTTTTTTTTATGTGCGTCCGCTTTATCTGTCTTATTCTTTCTATTTCTGTGCATTTTCGTTGAGCCATTCCTCTTTTGCCTGCCTGCATTCGGTCCTACTTTATTTGCGCAGTGTTCTATATTCTGTGCCATACTTTGGTATTGTTTGCTGTCTCTTCTTCATCGTGTCAAGAATTTCATCTGTCATGAATTCCCATTTTCCTTGTCTCGTTTGTTGATGTTCCTAAAGCTTCTTTTTATGAATCCCACTTGAAAGTTCTGTTCTCCTTTAGTTCGTTGTATCTGCCTTTAACACTCTCCGTTTTATTCGCTTTCAGATTTGAAACATTCAGTTGCCTGCCATTGGTATCTTCAGTTTCTGTAGTTTCAGGTTACACATTACTGGAAGTTGGTCGCTCCCGCAGTCGGCAGTTGGATGTGTTTAACCGTGTTAAAACTGCATTCTTGAATCTCTGATTGATAAATTTTGCAATCGATTTGGTTTTTCGTTTCTTTTGATAGGAAAAGTGATTTTGTCAAACTCTTCAATGTGTGCTTCCATTGAACAATGTTTTCTCATCAAAACGTTTTGCATCGATCGAAAAAGGTAATGGACGATTAGTGTAAGGTCAGGTAAATATACCCGGGTGGAGTAGCACAAACCAACCGAGTTCCATTTTTTTTCCTGTGTTATTCTTGCTGCAATCAATTCATGAACTGTCATGGAATCCCCACTTTATGCCATGGGTTAAATAGTTTCAGCCTCCTAGCTTAGTAGAAATTATTATATCCAGAAGGTAATCCAAAACTTTAGGTCTAATGTGAATATATTTGATAGTACACCGTACAATATAACAAGATAGATAGATAGATAGATAGATAGATAGATGAATGAATAGATAGATAGATAGATAATGAACTGACTGAGATAGATAGATAGATAGATAGATAGATAGATAGATAGATAGATATGAACAGACTGAGATAGATAGATAGATAGATAGATAGATAGATGAGATGAATAGATAGAAACAGACTGAGATAGATGACAGATAGATAGATAGATAGATAGATAGATAGATAGATACATATGACTGAGATAGATCGATAGATAGATAGATAGATAGATAGATAGAACAGACTGAGATAGATAGATAGATAGATAGATATGAACAGATGAGATAGATAGATAGATAGATAGATGAACAGACTGATAGATAGATAGATAGATAGATAGATAGATCCAAGGAGGGATTAATCCAAAGAGAGCTCAATGAACAGACTGGGATTTCTTTTTTTTATCCCGATATATAAGTTTGGAAGGATGAATTCCATTTCTAAAAAACTGAGATAGATATGATAGATTAGATAGATAGATAGATAGATAGATAGATATGAACAGACTGAGATAGATAGATAGATAATTTTGAACCGATGATTAGATATGAATAGATAGATAGATCCATAGATAGATATTAATCCAAACAGAATGATGATAATTTACAGAATGAGATTCTCCTAGATCCCGATATATAGATTTGAACAGAATGATTCCATTTAAAAAAAATGAACTAGATATGATAGAATTAGATAGATAGATATGAACAGAATGATAGATAGAACAGAATGAGATAGATAGATAGATAGATAGATAGATTCCTTGATAGATAATTTTGAACCGAATTAAATATGAACAGATGAGATAGATAGATAGATAGATAGATAGATAGATGATAGATATGAACAGAATGAGATAGATAGATAGATAGATAGATAGATAGATAGATAGATAGATAGATATGAACAGAATGAGATAGATACCCCTAAATCTTAAGTGACAAATCGACCAAGGTGAGATTCGAACCCGGCTCTTATAGTCGGAAAGTGAACTCTGTAACCTCATGTTTTATGCATAAATACGTACATAGATAAATAGATATTATCGAACCACAATTTTGAATGAATATAAAACGAATAAGACACAGATAGCATAATAGAAGGAAAGAGAAAAACAAGAATCATAGATTGGTCAACACTGTCCACGAGTCTTCATCGAGCTAGATTAGCGCATTTGTCTTTATCAATCCTTAAAACGTTTCCATCCTTCCTGGTTCATTCGAAATATGAACAGAATGGCTCTAGATAGATGAAAGATACGATGTAGATAAATATTTTAGATGATGAATGAATGTGAACCACTGAATGTCTTTTCTTGATAGGTCGAAAAGCAAATATATTTTATAGATCGAATAGATAGATATGAACAGATGATTAGTCTGGTTACCACTCGTTTTCCGAGCACCCTCTAAATCTTAAGTGACAAATCGACCAACATATGAATGATTCAGCGACCCGGCTCTTTGTCGAAACGTGCTTTAGCGTGTGAACTCTGGACGTCAACCTCATATTTTATGCATGTGAATACGTACATAGATAAATACGACGCTTATCCTATCCACACAATTTTGGACGTGAATATAAAACGAGATATGCGCCTTAACATGTGAATGATTAGACGATGGTTAAATAGAAACGTGCTTAGGAAAGTTCGAATCCACGTCACCAGATTGGTCAGATGCCGATGGTCCACGTTTTGTCTTCATCGAGCTGCATCATTAGCGCCATTTGTCTTTACGTCAACTCCTTAAGGCGTTTCCATCCTTCCTGGTTCATTCGAAAATGTGCCGCTGTCTATTCGCTCCTGGGAGACGATGGCTCTTGAGCGACGTCGAAAAGCGAATACGCGCCCAACATGTGAATGATTCAAATGGTTTACACTTTGCCTCTGAAGTGCTCACTACAACCACTGTCGAAATGTCTTTTCTTGTTTATAGGTCGAAAAGCAAATATATTTTATGCGCCGAAAAGCGAGATATGCGCCTTAACATGTGAATGATTAGCGCGATGGTTACCACGCTTTGCCTAGAAACGTGCTTAGCGTGTTCGAATCTCTCTGGACGTCAAAAAGCGAGATATGCGTCTTAACATGTGAATGATTAGCGCGATGGTTACCACACTTTGCCTAGAAACGTGATCAGCGTGTTCGAATCTCTCTGGACGTCAAAAAGCGAGATATGCGTCTTAACATATGAATGATTAGCGCGATGGTTACCACACTTTGCCTAGAAACGTGCTTAGCGTGTAAGAATCTCTCTGGACGTCAAAAAGCGAGATATGCGTCTTAACATGTGAATGATTAGCGCGATGGTTACCACGCTTTGCCTAGAAACGTGCTTAGCGTGTAAGAATCTCTCTGGACGTCAAAAAGCGAGATATGTGCCTTAACATGTGAATAATTAGCGCGATGGTTACCATACTTTGCCTAGAAACGTGCTTAGCGTGTTCGAATCTCTCTGGACGTCGAAAAGCGAGATATGCGTCTTAACATGTGAATGATTAGCGCGATGGTTACCACACTTTGCCTAGAAACGTCCTTAGCGTGTAAGAATCTCTCTGGACGTCGAAAAGCGAGATATGCGCCTTAACATGTGAATGATTAGCGCGATGGTTACCACACTTTGCCTAGACACGTGCTCAGCGTGTTCGAATCTCTCTGGACGTCGAAAAGCGAGATATGCGTCTTAACATATGAATGATTAGCGCGATGGTTACCACACTTTGCCTAGAAACGTGCTTAGCGTGTTCGAATCTCTCTGGACGTCAAAAAGCGAGATATGCGCCTTAACATGTGAATGATTAGCGCGATGGTTACCACACTTTGCCTAGAAACGTGCTTAGCGTGTTCGAATCTCTCTGGACGTCGAAAAGCGAGATATGCGTCTTAACATGTGAATGATTAGCACGATGGTTACCACACTTTGCCTAGACACGTGATCAGCGTGTTCGAATCTCTCTGGACGTCGAAAAGCGAGATATGCGTCTTAACATATGAATGATTAGCGCGATGGTTACCACACTTTGCCTAGAAACGTGCTTAGCGTGTAAGAATCTCTCTGGACGTCAAAAAGCGAGATATGCGCCTTAACATGTGAATGATTAGCGCGATGGTTACCATACTTTGCCTAGAAACGTGCTTAGCGTGTTCGAATCTCTCTGGACGTCAAAAAGCGAGATATGCGCCTTAACATGTGAATGATTAGCTCGATGGTTACCACACTTTGCCTAGACACGTGCTCAGCGTGTTCGAATCTCTCTGGACGTCGAAAAGCGAGATATGCGCTTTAACATATCGCCGATTGGCACGATGGTTACCACACTTTGTCTGGACACGTGCTTAGTGTGTTCTATTCTGTTTAAGCCTCTTCACTTGATATCTTGTGCCAGACTTTCCTAAGCTTGTAATATGTTTAAAAGACTTCTCACTGCAGATTAACGAACTAGATTATCCTAAGATTACGACAGACTCGTGGTTTCAGTTCCAGAATCAGATAATACATGTATTTCATATGTTCACCAGGATCACGAGGATAAGGAGGATAGACAACGATTGACCCTTGACTTAAAGAGGTTAATATTGTACTGGAGTGGGTTACTTTTAAAAAGAATATGATGAAAATAGTGTCAGATATGAATGAAAAAGGGTTGGTAGGAAGTGAAGATTATGAGGATAGGGAGGCTAGACAAAGATTGACCCTTGACTTAAAGATGTTAAGATTGTACTGGAGAGGGTTACTGTCAAAAAGTATACGATGAAAATGGTGTCTGATATGAATGAAAAACGGTTGGTAGGAAGTAAAGATTATGAGGATAGGGAGGCTAGATAACGATTGACCCTTGGTTTGAGGAGGTTAAGATTGTACTGATTCTTTGATTTAAAGGTTTAAACTGGCAAAATTAAAGAATACAGCTCGTCTGAATATAACACAATTGTACTCCTCCTGAATTCAAATTGATACCAGAATATTGTCGTCCTGGGTATGGCGGCATAAACTCCATCCGACAGGAAGGCATCTGATTGGAGGTTTTGAAGAGTCTGGATGCCACCTCTTATTTGTTGTCGTTCCCAGGACCACCCCAACCCGGAGTGGTAGTACCTGTTAGGGTCCCAGCAATCTGCAATTAGCGACCTTCCACTCCATACAAAATCGACAATACATTTTTGTAGTGAAATTACCAGCAACACATTTTATAACTTACAAATGATATATTTAATATATATATATATATACCATTTACCCAGAAAGTATAAAATTATTTTAAATGTTTAAATTTCGGCATTAAATAACCCATAAAGATGTATAAAGGTATAAAAATACCTACAATAAATTTTATCTGGAGTTGAATTGACTCCAAAATATATTTAGTTAAAGCTATAAAATTGTGTTCAAAACATTTAGATTTTGGAATTAAATAACCCATAGAGGTGTTGATATGCCGTGAAAGAATTTAAATATTGAGTTCTATTCTATAATGCCATCTAATACCTGTCGACATTTCCCTTCTCAGTTGCTACCTTTTAATTGTTGCTGTTCCCAGGTCTATTTTAACCAGTGGTGGTAGCACCTGTTAGGGTCCCAGTTATGGGCAAATAAAACACTATGAAATTATAAAAATACATTTTTATACTAAAATTTTCTCCGGAGTTGAAGGCATACAATTGAGTTCAAAATATATTTAGTTGAAGCTATAAAATTGTGTTCAAAACATTTAGATTTTGGAATTAAATAACCCATGGAGGTGTTGATATGCTGCTAAACAAAATGGCGGCAAGAATAGATTATTTCAGAAAGAAGAATCATTCGTTGCTATTTTTTTTTAAGCATTACGCCCCGAGCAAGGCGTGAAGCCACTAGGATGCAGGGGGTTGCAGAAGATTTGGAGCAAGAGCAGATAGGAGTGATAGAAGAAAGGATGAGGAGAGGGATAGTGGGTAGATCAAGGTAACTGGAGGTGTCGATTGACATTACATTTGAATAGTTGGAGATTATAGCTCTCAGGGAAACAGTAATTGGGAAAGGTGTTCCACAGGCGAGAGGTGCGAGGTATGAAGCTATTGGAGTAGAAGAGACGGCTACATGTAAAAGTTTCTACAGTGTAAGGGTGGGAGCGGGATGCCAGCCTCGTAGGGCGCTTGAATTCATGAAGTCTGGGAACCAGTGACAGCAGCTCATCGGAGCAATTAACATGAAAGTATTTGTAGAAAAGACAGAGAGATGCGACGGCGCGTCTGTGAGAGACTGTTTGTAGACGAGATGCCAGATCAGGGCCAATTATATTACATATCCGTCTCTGGATCTTGTCAAGAACTCCGAGTTTAACAGAAGGTGACCCAGACCATATATGGCAGCAATACTCCATGCAAGGGCGAATGGTTGATTTGTATATTTGAAGTATCGATTCCGGGGAGAAAAATTTCCTGGCGCGGCACAGAGAGCCAACTTTCCTTGCGGTGGAAAAAGCAATTGACTCAATGTATTTGTTCCATCTCAGGTCAGCAGTCAACGTGAGATGAGTAATATTAAGAATGTCATAAAATATAAAGAAAATCTTTTGATACCGATAACAAATACAAAGGAACTGTTTTTTAAGAATCAATATGCAAAATTAAGAAAGGAACACGGGATAAAATAATTGTATTGACATTCAGTTGATTGTCTCAGTAGTTCAGAACATACAAGAGTTTCTATTCATTAATCTATCGTATTCCCCATACGTCTTCATCCATAATACGCACCCCTAAAATTGTGCTGAAAGTGTGAGAAAATGCTTCTACTCACTCATAATACGCACCCCTTGTTTGGTAATCAAACCTTATAAATTGTACCTCTCCAATTTCATTATGGCTATCGTTTCCCCAACTTTTGTTCAAGCTGTAATTGAAGATATTTATCAAAATTTCCGATCATCACGATTCTAAAAGGAAACGGAAATAGCTATATTGTGCCTACTGCGCAGACTCATTGACTTGTTTTTGTTCGATAAAATGTACAATCTAGCGCATCTGAATGTCGTTCGAGTTAGATATACATAACTCGATATATTTGTATTTTCTACATTCTTCCAAAGGACGTTTGAATTCATATATAACGTTGGTTTTATATAATACATCAGTTCACCAACTG